GAAGAATTTGAAGATATTCCAAACAAAATAACAATGGAAACAATATCCAATAGCGCTAATAATATATATCACAATAATTTACTGAAAGATACGTCAGTTATTTCGAATAAAAAACTACAGACAACCAACAAGATAAAAGATGAAAATGAAATAAATACTGATAATTCTGATACAGAAAGTGAGATTAATTCCAGAAGAATAAAATACCTGAAAGGGATTAATAACGTGAATAAATTATCAACGGATTTATCAACTTTAAACAGCTTTAATAGCGAAAATCAAAACGATATATTAAAAGTGACTTCAGATAACTTATACACAGAGATGTCGCAAAGAGATCAGCATAAATCAGATATTCTGTCAAATATTAACAGAATAGCCAATACTAATATCCAAGACAAACATTGGCATGAATTAATTTCTTCAACTGATACAAAAATTCAATCAATGATTGATCATGAATCAGATATTTTAAAGAAAAAAGAAGCAGTTAATTCAAAGACTCGCAATAATATTAATAAATGGAACACCAAATTAAAAACAACAACATCATCATCTTCAAACGCAGAATCACAAAATAGGAAAAAAATTGTTGTAAAACCAATAGTATCCGCAGAGTCAACAGCCAATAATATTAATAAAAATGCACATGATTTAATGCAAGAAAAATCTGCGTTTGATCCCACACATATCGCAAAAATAGATAAACAACATAGTTATGGCAATCAAAAAGCAGATGTGGCAAATATTGGAAGAGCAAGAGCAGAAATATCAAACTCTCAACATTTCATTGAACATTTTAAAAATGACGCAAAAGAAAAGACGCAATCACAACAAAATAAATTGAAACATCATAAAATAATTACTTCAAATATAAAATTGTCGGAAGGAACCAATTCTAGCAAAATGAAAAATGCACATCAGGAGTTATTAAAAGACGTAACGGCATCTAACTCACATACAAAAGTGCAACACAAATATATTAGCGATATTGTAAAAGAAAGTTTGAAAGTTACTGGTAGCGCCGCAACGTCAGCACAGACGAAGTCTTTCGAAAAAGTTGAGAGTAAATCTCAAGAACAATCGCTAAGAGACTCAGTGAAATCTAATTCATATACGAAATCGCAAATAGAAAATAAAAATGATTCAAGTGCTTCGGAAGAACAAATTATAACAAGCATAGAAACATTAACAAATTCCGCGATTTCTAATAATCTTAAAAATGTGCAACAAAACAAGCTAAATAAGAATTTATTATCTGATCTAAGACTCCATGATACGAGTAATGTGGACAATTCAAATCATCATCAAAAATCAATACAAACGACATTTTCCAGTGATATGAAAGAACATGCAGAACATAAAAACACTGTTAATAATATGGGGAAAAATTTAAAAGCTGTCACAAATACCGAGACATCTGCAATATCTTCGAATAGTACCGAAAATACTAATACACAAGACTCATCACAAATATTATCATCATCCAATTTATACACTGCATCACAAATAGATAATGCACATTCAAGAAATATTGCACAAGACGGTCAAGAACGAGTATTTACGATTACACAAGCATCACCGATATCATTAGTAACTTCCGCTAATAATCAAGATAAGCAAAAAGAAATATTACACATTCAAGATCCTAAAAATCAAAGTTTAACAAAAACCAGACATAACAATAACAACTTCTCACAAAAAGTTTATGATGGTAAAGATGCTACAGTGTCAAGACAAGCAACAAGCTTTAATAATGATAAAAACGAGCATCAAAATAATTTATTGAAAGCAAAATCGTTAATTAATTCGTTTGCAGACACACAGAGCATGCAAAACGACGAGTCGAGTATTCGTAGGAAACAACAGTTAATTACTACAGATTCCATAGCATCATCAGATTCAAATATCTCCAGTTGTACTGATAATACTAATAAAAATGATCTCGAAAAAGTAACTGGAATATCATCAAGTAATTCTTACGCAAAATCTAACGCGCAAAATAAAAATCATGTAGATATTGCGAAAAAAAAGCATACAGATATTTTCAACGCAAACAGATCAGGACAAGCAATAATTTCCAGTAAATTTAAAGATACGAACCAGGATAAATCTCTTCGAACAACATCTTCATCTAATTTATACACAGATACAGAAACGAAAAATAATAATACGAACAGTATAAAAAAAGCTTTGGATGCTGCTCTAAATGCGAAAGTAAAAACGATATCTTTTAATGATATAAAAAATATCGATCCACAAGATGTAATTAAGAAAAGTCTTTCAGAAACATCGTCGGACTTATTTTCTAAAGCACAGGCCGAGATCGCGCATGATTCGAAAATTTTGAAGAATGACTATGAAAACTCTGCAAAGGGAAACACAATTATTAAAACAAAAAGCAACAATTACCATAATCAACAAGAAGATTTACATAAAACGCGATTTTTGTCAAGTGATGCTCAAGATAGCCAACATAATATTAAATCGATATCTTCAAGAAATTCTTACCTACCAGCTACGAATGAAAATATTGTTAAAAGCGGAAAATCTAAAAAAGATGGAGAAACTTTTAACTTATCAACATTGGGAAAAATAAAAATACACAATAATATAAAAAAAGAACATTTAAATAACTGGCCGATTACGATGTCAGATGCTGCTACTCTTGTTGAAGAACGCACAGAAGATAAGGATAAGTTTAACAATTCGAAAACAACTGAGAAAGTTACTGTCCATACAGAAACAGCAGCAGAAGCAGCAGCCACCAACAATATTGAAAGCGAACAACATGATATTCACGTAGGACATCGAAGCAAATTGAAAGACAGTTGGAATGCTGAGACAAAAATTCAGAATGCTATTTTAGATGCTTCAGCCGAGATGATTGCTTTAAAACGGACGAAGAACAAGAGTGAAAGAAAAAGTATTTCGGATAATAAACTGGAAACGCTATCGTCTAATGAGGCGCATGCCAAAACACAAATAATAAACAAAGAAAAGAACGACATTACGGGTACTTCAGAATCTTCTGTCAATACTGAAGGAACGCAACGTTTGATCACATCTGCAATGTCATCTGCATCTACCTCGAATAACATGAATATAGATCTTGGCACAAAATATGATCAAATTAATAACAAAATGTCGACCTCGTCATTATTCACTTCAGTATCAAAAGATGCTAAAGAAAGAGAGAAACACCTTTCCTCTGTCCAAACATCTTTGCACTTATCAGATAAAATAAACGGCTGCAATAAAGATGTCGAGACTAGAAAATTCATTCACCAGGCAACTAACTTGTACAAGGTAAACAAATCATGCTTTATCAATGTTTAGTAATTATTTTAAATAATCAGAATTTATATTAAAAAGTTATATTGTGTAAAATAAATATATATATATATATATATATATTATATATCTTTTTTATTTACTTTTCTTTAAAAAATATAAAATACAAAAAGATAATTTATATTAATAATTAATTTGTTTATTAGTAAAATTTTTAATCATTGTATTTTACATAGATTCTGGGCAAGGAACAGGATAGTGAGATCTTACTGATGAAAAAGAATTCCAAAGGACCTGTTCAAATAGCAGGTTTTAAAAAGAGCATACCACCGCTTATTGCGTATCGATTAATTCCACGAGAAGTATTTGAAAGAATACGTACAATACTAGCGAATAAGCAGATTTCTTGTACTGATTGTCCGCTCTCAAATAGTTAGAATAAGTTATTATACAATATACACATGATACATTATTTATTAATTAAAACTAATTCTATTTTTGTAAAATTTTTATACGACTGTCAAATAGACTGTTATTTTAATACAATACATCATAATATAAATATTATATACTTTATAAAAATTCTCTTATGTCTTTAATATAACGATTAAATATAACATCACCGATAGATATTGAAGTTATAACTCTCTGATGTGAAAACAGGCATAGTACTATCATCATCGAGATTTATCATACACACATACACATTAAACAATTTATTTAATATGATTGTCATGATTTATATTGCATTGTAAATAAACATTTACCAGATAAAATTTAAAAAAATGTTATCCGATATACGGTAAACTCTCTGTATATAAAAATGATTTCATTTTATTGCTTTTCTCTAAATGCACATTCTAAAATTTATGTTGGAATAAGAAAAAATCTATAATTTTTTTGAGACATTTGTAAAATCTGACTGCAATAAAGCATTTATACCTCTAGATATATACACATAAAGAGCTGATGACAAAATAAAAAGCAACCACATCTATAAAAAGATCTTTCTCCTCGGGGGCAGTCGCATAAACGTATAGACTGCTTCATACGTAAAAGTAAGGATGACCTCGTTCGAAAAAAAGTCTGTTTCCACTTCGGACTTGCAAAGAGCTAGATAACCGCCGGCGGATAGAAAAGCGTGAAGCAACATTAAAAGATATGACCTCTTTGGAAAAATAACAACCGTCGTACAGATAGCAAACTTTAAAGAGATCATAAAACCGAAGATATAATAACTATTATTGTTGAATAATCCAAAAAATACGTTGGATAATAGATATAATTTACGAGATACGTGCTTATCGTTTGACTTATAATTAAAGTTTGTGTCACTTAGTTACTACATAGGTCTCTTTATGACCCTTAAGCCGAGTGCAGTTTCATCATCATCGACTATGTCGGTCGTGACCAACAGGAACTGGAAGCACGAAGTACTATCTTTCTTGTTACACCATGTGTACGGTCGAATTGTTAACCGCGGAATGACATTTTGCAGATAATAACCATTTATTTTATTTTATGTTTGTAAGGTAGCTGATAATGTCAGCGAATCTGCGATACCGGCCACTTGAAAAAACTTCTTTATATTTCTCGATACATCAAAATAAAGTATGGAAATTTACAATCTTACAACTAGTGTAAATTTTTTCTTCAAATATAATTTGGGAAAAGAGAATAGTTTCATTTATCCGTTGTTTGAAAGAAAAAATTGAAAAAAAAATTTAATATATAATAATAATGTTTTTGCATGTAATAATTTATACGTATTTCCTATCTAATTATAACGTAATTTAACTACATATAATCTACTATTTGACGGATTATCAAATTTTTGCATACTTACTTCGAAATCCGTGAAGGCTTTGTACGTGAGAATCAGACAACCGCCGAAAAATATACAGGTGGCCAGATTTCTAGTATCCGTAAAAGACGTAACCAAAGGAACAGATCCCATTTGCCAATCATGCGAGAGTATAGCCGGACACAGAAGCAACCAACAATTCAACGATGCCAAGTAGCAAAAAGTCAGCAATCTGAAAATAACAATATAAAATTGAATATGTACAGCTATATAATGTAGCTATAAATAAAATTGTACCCAAATTAACGATAAAACGCAGATAAAATTGCAATTATTATTATGTTAATAATATTCTTTTAATTCTGATCTGATTCAACCACTTTAAAAACCATCGCACTCAATTGACGAACAAGTTTCTCGCCCTAATGCTTTTTTCCGAGAAAAATTGGCCGCTCGATCGTTGCGACGAAGGCAACTTCTCACGATCGGTATTGTCCTCTTGGCACGAACTGAAGAGCTCGGCCAATGGGGCTGAAGTGGTACCCTCCAGTTGCTGACATCGAGGTTCCATTTTCTCACTATCAGCATCTACCGATATAATCACCGATATAACGCCCTACCCGGTATCTCCACGGCAAGCGTCTGTGCGATCGTCGACGGGGATATTCTCGGTGTATCGTCGCGCTTCCTGGGACGGCTTACTCGGCAAATCTATTGTCTCGCGAACAAGCCCACTCACACAATGTGCCATGGAACGCGCCGGTAAATATTCGCCCGTGTCGTTGTGAGTGTTAATTCCGACGGCTCATGAGTCCCTCTAATTGTCCCCGGCGCCAGATGTGGCGACGTCACCCAGCATCGGCTCTATTCACCGAGTAGTCGAAAAGTAAGCGAGTAACACCGAGAAGCGAGATGTAAGAGATTCTAAGCTTACCCACTCAATAAATTACCCAGTTGATACAAGAGAGTATAAACTTATCTACGTGTACAGATAAGCGAGACATCACATAAATTACAATGGAAATACGATGGTGATATATAGCGACGTGCGCATAAATTACATCGCAGTCATTATATCATCGCATGTTAAATAAATTTTCTCTGACCATCTTGATAACAACTCACACGTATTTTATAATATGACTTTTTAATGTATTCTAATAAAACACAGTTTCGCTTAAAAAGTACATCAAAAAACGTACTGAGAAGTGCTAAAATTTAAATATAGAGTGACTCTCTAATGGCTCCCTTGGCGCAAGCAAAATTTACATTCTGTACAGCAATTGTTTTAAATGTCTCACGATTTAACGACATTTATCCCTTTGTTATTTCATGCTTGAGTACCTATATTGTACTGCTACTTGCTAATTAATATCCATCTCTTGAACAATTGGAAAGTGAAAAACGCAATGTAGAGCTCAAAAAAAAAACAAAAAAAAAACAAAGAAAATAATGTATCTCAGCTCTGAGCGGCCGTTCTCGTTCCGAATAATTTTTCTTGCCGTTGGCTATCTATATTTTTATTTCGTTGAAATGATTGATGAGAGTGCTTGTGCATCACGAGCTTTCAAGACACGAAAATCAGAAGCTCGTAATGCAGGAATAAAAAATGATCTAAAATATCAAAATAATAATTTGTAGCATATATCAAGCGCTCTGCACGTATTACGACATGAAAATATTACGAAATAAGCAGAAGTTTCTTCCCGAAAAAAATATCACGTGTGTGTATGTGCGTTTGTGTGGGAGAAAGTGATACACATCCACATTACTCCTTTTGGAAATTGTGGACAAAAATTGCTACAAATCTAGAAAGAATATTCTCAGATTTATGAATATTTTATAGGCTATCACATAGATTTACCCAAATAAATGTGCATTTTTTAGAGTTCGTGTAACTAATAATAAATTTGCAATTAATAAGAAATAAAGTCAAAGAATAGTCGAGCTAGAAACACTTTCTTATTTTTATTTGTCAAATATATAATAAACGTAAATAAATAGCTATACTCTAGCGAAAAAAATATATATTCTCGCATATATTAATATTCAAATTATTTAAAAGAAAACATTTTTTCTTTACAAATTTATATAAAGTTTATTATCTTCCGCATTATTTATTATTTATTATATAAAAATATATAAGCATTGTAGATGTTGAATTTTTTTACATTTGGTGCAGGAGAATTAATCAATTGATTCAATTAAGACTATTTCATCAAGACGGTGCGCGCTAGACACCGTTTCTTACTGATCTTACGATCGTTTGTCAAACCAACCAACTTCAGAAAAAGCTTTCTTTTGAAGCCGTCATTCACGTAGAAACGCGATGTCATTAGCTTTTAATCGTACCCTTCCATCAATTTACCCTCTCTTTCATTTAACCGTCCTCTTTTTCCTCTACACCTTCGTGATATGCGGGTATCGATCCTGTCGATGCTCATAAACGGTAAAGTTTTCCACCCGTATTTCTGCGACGTTAAGATATCGTCGGCTTCCAAATTGTATGCATCATGTCAATTTGATAATAATAGATCTAAACTTATATTTTTGAAGAGAAAAACCAAAGTTGTACGAGTACGAGAAGAAAAAGAAGAAGAAGAAATTAACATAAAAGTGATTCACGGGTCAAGAATAATAAATTAGATATATTGTCAAACTCTTTGTTAACATTCGCTTAGGATGTAAACAAAAAATGACAATTTAAAGTACTCGAAACGATTAATCATGTTTAAGAAATTTATGAAACCAGATGCAAAGGTGAAAACTTTAATCGACGCTCGCGTGATAAGTTCTTCGCACCATCGTCCGTTCGTTTCACCGTCGTCGGCACGTAAGAACCTTGATCTCTCATACATGCTTTTGAATTCAGATGAAAGCAATTTCCCTCGATTACCAGGCCGAGGTGCAAGATAGGCTACGATCGATTCGCACGTGTTCCTAAGCATTCACTTGGTGATTTCGAAGCGAGATTTATTGCATGCATAATCACGCAGCTTCTAAGCACGCGAACTGGCATCATTTTTCTATGTCAAATTTTTCAGATAGTCACCTCATTTGCATAAATGCAATTTCCAAGCGCGAAGTCATGCATCATGTAATTAAAAACATATGCATACTTGTAACAATTTGTTGGTAATGCTTTTCACACTATATCCAATTGAAATGTGATAACCAAAATGTAAATATATGCATTTTAGTTAACGTCTTAACGTCTAGAGATAAAATTTAATGTTTTCATCTAAAAGAATTGCTAACGTTATGTATTTTTTTATATTTTACAGATTCTATTATAATATCGAACTTACAGAATATAGATCAAAAATTTAGAGTGGAATAATAAATTATCAGTTTTTAATAAATAACACGGTGTATTTTGTTTCGAGACAGCTCGTATTGTGTGAATAATCGCGACTGTCGTTATGAGTATAACCGAGGAAAATAAATAGCGTGTCTTGAGTTTTTTATTTCTTACATCGTTCCTATCATAAATTATCTTCTACGTTATCAATAATATATCTCGTATTTTTCTTTTCTTTTTTTTTTTTTTGTAATAGACGGCATTGTGAAGAAAGTATGGGCAAGATCGACATTGTTGCATACGAAGTGTCTGACTAGGAAACGACGCGATATCGTGAGAAGAGTAACGGTGCGGGAAGAGGTCTCTGTAATAGAGGTTTATTGGCAATTAATCTTGCGAGCCGGATGTGCCGCTTCGTTGGGCACGATACACTTCCGTCTCAGCGAGCGGCCGGTAAACCGAGGAGAGATGTATTGCACTGTACCACGAAATCAAACGTACGTCCTTCTCTCCACTTCCTCCTGTTGATACCAATTCCTCCGGTATACCTGCCGTGCGTCTTTGTCAGTTGCGCCGGAAAATGTATTGTTCCTGAGTCCAGTACTCGCGAGATGTCCGTCAATCTGATCTTGATCGAGTGATCTAACATATGTAAGGTAGCATTATATATTTTTCTTCGAGTCTACGTTGCGTGTATCGCATGTCTAATCCGTTAAACTTTATTGAAATGCATCTGTTTCAATATACGACATTTCGTTGACAAAGGACAAAGCAATTACGCGTTACGTAATTCATGTGTTTATTGTAATTATCACGCTTTCCATATCCATCCAACTATTGAACGCGCGAGTGATATCCTGAATTAGTTCTATGCAAGAGTATCGATTTTCTTTAAAATTTAATAGTTCCATTCTGTTCTGGTAGTATCACAAAGAGGACAATAGCACACATCGGTGCACCGTTTCCGTGAATAGTAGTAATTCCGTTATCAAATTTAGCCTCGATGATCGGATTCGCGCGAACTGTGATATTGCGGCTTGATTTTCAATCGATGATTCAGGCGTATAAATGCATGCCTCGTATAGTATAAAAAAGTACGCGCTTGCTAATTATTCGTTATTGGAATTATCACCGAGCCACGATAATTGTCATTTTAGTTGATCATTATAATTAATATCAAAAGATATTATTTTAATTATAATGCATTATTGTAATATTGTTCGCATAGAAATATTGTAAATTCATAGCTGTAACATAGCATTAATTTTTATATACTATGACTAATAACATTAACATTTAGATAGTTCTGCTTATTACTCATAGATGATGAGAATGGGAATAAAATGTCTATAAGTAAAAAAGTGATAGACTTTTATTTTATGATAAAAAACGCTAAATACATATAATTAGATATCTTAATTTTTTATTTTTTTAAATTTTTATTTATTGCGTTCAAGTTTAGATATTTTTTATGTATTATACTTGGCATATATCTTTTTTTATATCTTTCTTTTAGAAAATATTTTTAATTAATTATTTTTACGGAAAACAAATTACTGTTTGTACCGCCAACGTCGTTATTATTTTAACTAACAATAAGTCAAATTAATTATTATTTGTCTTATTGAAAAGCATTTCCAGTGTTCCTCTTTAACCAAGAAAAAAATTAATCCCTCCGTTCTGTAGAGGTAAAAACAGAAAAGGGTCGAGGAATAAGAGAGAAAGTCAAGAACGATATATGTAGATATTGCACCAAAGCCGATTCGCGTTTTCCACTTAAATGCACTCTCTTCCATGTACTTCCGACTTATCGTCTAGACATTGCTGTTCGATTGGATTTTCTTCTCTCGCCGTTAATAACGGCATTCATATTAATTCGACTTCCGTGAGCTGTTTTAATTGAACATACACACGAACATCGGGATTCTCCT